TGGTTACTAATTGATATAAAAATTCAATAGCTTAATTTACATATTTTTCATTACAATACTAATACGTATTAAAATATTATATTATTTAAATTTTTCTTCCAAAATTTGTTTTGTTATTTAATGTCAAGATATACTTATTAATAATTTATAAACATGCTAATTTATAAGCATACAAAATTGAATACCTAATATATAAATAAATTTCATACTTTCTTGTTTCTCAAATTTAATTAAACATGTACGTATACAGTCATATAAATAATAAATTCTTAATAAAATGTACATGCATTTAAGTGTCTCACTGAAACTAGCTCTTAGAGGCATAACATATTATTACTTACAAAGTGACACAAAGTTTACGCACAAGAGTTTCGTATTTCCAGGCAGGAAACTTGTAACTATGAAATCGTTAGCTATAAAGTTAGGTTAGTAAATTAAATAAGTAATAAAGATAAGCTTATTTAAAACATAACATTTGTTAATCTTCTCTAACACATTCGCGACTGGTGACATAGTGCTATGTCTTTTTGCAAATTAAAAATGGCAGTCAGTATGTAGTACTACGTTTTTTGTGAATGACTGAATACTATTTACTTATTAATTTGTTACTTTTTGTTTCGTAATGATCTGCAACTTTTTATTTTATTATTTTTATTTTATTTTATTCTCTTTTACTACATATAATTAATATTTTGAAAAATTAAATAGTTTAATTTAGGGTTATGTGGAGTGATGTGCAACACGTTCACGCGTTGCTCGGAAAACATATCCAAAAATCAAATTCTTGAATATATCATGGCTGTATAATGTAGAGGAAGGAAAATACTACAATTCTGCGTGATTAGATTTTCAAAATTTTAAATTTTTCCTAAAAAATTTTCGAGTTTTCAAAAAAACGTCTGTTTTAGCATTTTCAAATTTTCTTGGGGTGATGTGCAACACAGGTAAAATTAAGGTAAAAAATGCATGAATATCGACATCAATCGACTTAAATGTTAAATTTGGGCTTCTTAAATACAAATTAATCAAAATCTGGTGAACAAAAAATTTCACTGTATTGTAATCGACCTCTGACAAATGGAAATTTTGCAAAAAAAATTCATTTTTTATTTGATTTCTTATTTATTTATCGCTTAAAAATTAATATAATGAAAAGAAAAACGCAACCGGATGATCGCCTTTCAGCAATTTTATTGCTGCCCAAATTAGCTCGCAATTGCAATGACCGGAACAGCGATACCCTTATTTTTATACTTTCGTGGTATAATGACTAAACACATTGAAAAATGCATTAAAACACTTCATATACACATGTTCTATCGTAAAATAGCGATAAACTAGCGAAAAATGAGTGTTGCACATTACCCCAAAAAAAGTGTTGCACATAACCCCAAACACGCTATTTTGCGCGGACTGGCGTGACACCAACACAACGTAAGAAAATCACAAAATCGCTGTGGATTATCAAAAGTACTTAAAAAACTAACAATATAAAAATATTTACCTATAAGATGACCTAAAACCAATTCACGAAATCACTATGAATGTGAAAAGCGAAAATTACATTGAGCTCGAGAAATTTAACTCGCTTTTCGTACAGCAAACCGGGGTGCGTGCCATCTCGCGAGTTATTTATCTAAAACAAGGTACTATTGACACAAATAGATGACAGTATGCGGTTCTGTCTAATGTTGACATGCAGATGTCAGATGACAACAGAGTCGTTTCCAAGAGCTGTACCATTATTACTCTTCTCCTTTTACTCTTATCAAAGGAACTCTTGGAAATACGACGGATCCTTCGTCTACTGCGTATATCGTGACATTTTTCGCAGTAAGACTTTGCAGATAATCAAAGAATCTTTGGTCTACTGTAGGCATAGTCGACTTCAGGTACTTGATATCACTAGGGGAATAATGAAATTTATTCAAGAACTTGATGCACTCATCAAGACCGGCGAAGATCGTGAATTCCCCCTGGAAAGGATTCTTACGGAAGAACAAATCAAATACAGCGTGATCGTTCATCTTGCCGCTCTTCCAGTAGGCGTAAGCCATGGTGATTTGATACAAGTCTGTGAGTAGCGGTTGAACGACGCCGTTCTGCCGCGAGTTGCAACACGTCCAGCCATCATCGTCCGTTGACATCTCGACTGCAGACCAAGAATCGGAAACGTTGCACATCACCCCATGTTGCACATCACCCCACACAACCCTACATATTTTTCATTATTATATTATATATTAAAATATTATTTCAATTACCTTTCTTTCAAAATTTGTTTTGTTATTTAACGTTAATCAATGTTCTCTAAACTCTTTATTTTATTTCATCTTTATACACAAATCTTTTATTTAAATTTAAATTAAATTTTATTTCCAATTTCATTACACTGTTATTTTAGTGCATCTTATATTATTTATAATTTTTATAAAAATTTGTTGATATTTTTATAAACAAATAGCTTTCAATGTATGTATATTCGCTTACATAAAAGAATGGCGTCCAATACATGCAGTATCAGTATTTTACTATATCGCGAATGTTAATAAAAGAAACTATATACGCTTCTTTTATTTTTAATTTATTTTCTTTACTCTGATATGAAAGATGGATAGATAGCTACATGTTAGGATTGATATATGTGTGACACGCTAAAATTGATAACTTAATAAAGATAGACAGATACGCAAAGAATAAATAACTTCTATCTTCGATCTATCTAAATCCGTACATTTGATCTGTTTATAGAGTTTGTGAATATCTATAATAAAATACTCGAATTAGACGGCTATATGTTTAATTGTAGGTCATGCGAAGATTGAGCAAATTATCGAAATATTCCAACACATATTACACGAGAATATAATTCTTGACTACATCGAGAATTATATTCGTCACAAAACATCACAGCGCGTGAGAATAATATCGATCATAATTAAAATATACAAACCTGATCGCGGAGAAATGGTACCTTTCAGAATTGAAACTTCAATTTCAACTCTCTGAGTAAGATTACGTTCCGTTGAACATAATCCTGCAAATTTGATTTTCTCAAGGTAATCAGCACGCTCTTGGCTACAAACTGTTTCATCAGTGCGTTTACATTTATGGAATAACATACGGGGCTTTAATCTAATAGTCTATACGGATCAAACAGTTATCGTAATTTAACTGTGTATACATACGTAGAGAGACAGAGAGAGAGAGAGAGAGGGCGGTCATAGAGAAATCCTATGGATGTTATTACGATTAAATCCAATCATTCGAATTAGTCTGCAAGTGTCTCATCTCAAAACAGAACTGTACCGATCGAGTAACCAAACATGTGTTTAATAGGTTTTGAGCATGGTCACCAAATTGTAAAATATTGTAAATATGCACTTACAGAGAATAGCATATAAACGTTATTCGGCTCTGTCGTAAACTGTCTTATTTTTTGGATAAGATAGCGTTAAGAATTACAAAAATATTACATTATATGAAGTCTGAAGTGGCCATATCCAATAAGCTATTCCATTAAAGTAATGCAAAGTCTGTAGAAATTTATAAATTTATTGCATTGTTTGCGTCAATCTAAGATTTAGAAATATAAAAAATTCTTATTCTTTAAATTTCAAAATTATGGATTTGTTAATTCTTTGAGCGGCAGGAAAATAAGCACTAAAAAACGACCAAAAATGGCAAGATAAAAATTTTGTCAGATTTCTATGGGTATTAATGGGTTTTTTGGGTCACTGAATACGAATCCGGGGTCAAAGTTTGAAAATGCAAAATGGCTTCTTTTGAACTAACTGATGACCTCTTTTGAACTGACTTGATCGACGGTGATTTGACAGACTGATTGACTGAGGGGTTGATCACTTGAATTTTGAGTGTACGCCAGATTTCAAGACCTCTCGGACTTGACTGTCATTCTTTAGAACGCAGTTTATTCATTATTCCAAATTTAGGGGTCGCCATATTGAATCCACCATTTTAAAATTTTGACAGCAAATTCGTATTCAGTAATCCAAAAAAACCCCTAGTACCGAGTTTCATAGAAATCCGCTAATTTATAAAAGTTTTCAAAATTTTGGATTGCCATATTGGATCAGCCATTTTGAATTTTGTAATTCTGATCCCAATTCTGATTCGAATTCCGCGACCCAAAAAACCTCTAAGTAGCAAGTTTCGTGAAAATCTTGCTAACTGGAGAAAAATAAAACAATGTGCGCAGATATATGCGTCAATGCCATTCAAAGGATTTAGACTAATAGCAACTAAACAATAATTATAATTATAGGTCATTTACAATATAGAACCACACTGTTTGACGGTAACAGTCAAACTTAAGTTTCGCAAAGCAATTCAGAAACGTAATTGTCTGACGACGGGGGGATCACCTTTTTCGTAAATTAATGAGAAATTATCCACCTGTGTGCTATTCGAGCATGGCACAATGATCGACTTGCGCCGGTCGAATGGGAACATCAATTTTAATGCGGTAAACAATGTCATTAGCACGCCGATATTATCGAGGTCAACGCTTCAAATTGCAGCGTGGTAATTATACTTACCGAAGAGGTACCAATCAGAATGTTCGTAACGTAAATTATCTAAATCCTGGAATATTATATGCACCTCGTCATAGATAATTTTTCACGCATTTACACATTTAATATTTATATTAATTTATTATTTGATTTCTTTTTCAATAATTTATTACTCATTTTTAAAACGTCGTAATTTCTGAAATTTTCTCTGACTTTTATTGAAATTACATAGATAATTAATTTTATTTATTAATTTGTTTTCTTTTTTTCTCTTTTCTTTTCTAAGATTTCTTCGGTAGAAATAAATATAGATTAATCTCCGATAGTTCCAGTGTTAATAATATATCTGGGCAACAAAATATAAAATCGATACTAGTAACGAAAATCAAATTCGTTAAAATTAGAAACTATTCACTCTTATAATAAATACAATAGGAAAATAATTACATTCAAAGGCACGATGGATGATTGTTTAAACCATTTATTATACGCTTAGTGATTAAACAATACTCCAGACGATGTAGTTACAGAGATATTACCGTTAAAGTTACTTGAAATCGCACACGTCGAGCGATCGGATTCCTTTTCGAAGCAGTCAGTCGTTAAAACGTGTTTCCTTAGTATAAGGAAGAGTAGCCCGCCGAACGGATTTTCACACATTAGCGAGATCTCTTCATTCAACGGCGGCTGAATGATGCGTTCGTTGAGTGCCATTCGCAATACGAGGGATTATTTCCATCGAAAATGCGCGCGATACATGGCCACTGGGGGACGCCTATTGCTGGATAATGAATTAATGGAGGACAGGAGTAAATGAAACAAGTATTTAAACCCGCAGCACCACTGACTACGCTGCCAGATACGCCGTCTATTTCCATTTTTTTCGCTCGTTGATGGGTAGAAAAATTTAATCCCATCATAAATTTTTCTTTCACAATTAGGCACGGTATATTTGATCACTCGTCTAATTGAGCCAATCGTTCGGAAAGGACATTAAGTTTTTAAAAGTGAAAAACGAACCGTTAGTTCTTTTTTTATCTATATAGTGACACTCGCGCGCGCGCGGTCCGCTAGATCGAAACGATATAACGCGAATTTTGTTTTTCTCAGCAAAACGTCGAAAAAGTAACAATCATCACAAGCGGACAGCGGCACGACCGCCACTTTTATTTCGCGAGACAAGTCTGGTAGATAGAAGCGATCCAGTGCGAATTTCGTGTTTCTCGCGGCAAAACGCAAAAATAGTAGCAATCATCAAAAACGGACAACGGGGCATGATCGCATCAGCTCGCTGCTTCGACAGCGAATAAATCCAACGCGACATATTTTCCACGATATTTCACCAGTAAAAATTGCAAAAAAAAAAGGAAACGTGGGAACGAAAAAAAACAGCGGAAGGAAAAAAGCGCCGGGGCAGAGGAAGGAAAAATGATGGGAGTTTCGTGGAAATCGCAACAACCGGAGCATCGTGCTCCGTAGAACTGGATACCGCAACCGGACAAAAATCTCAACCGGAAAGTCGCGCGGTTTCCCCCCCCCCCTTTTTCCTCTCGATGGCATTTATTAATATGAAAATCTTTCCACTACCTGTTCCTATTCCCAACGCATCGCCCCAAGGTTAAATGCGAACAGAGCGCGCGCGCGTTGCATGCGCGACGATGCGCTTGGGAAATCCGCTGGGGAAATGTTCCTCGCAACTTGTAGCCGTGGAACACGATCTCTCGTGAATGTTGGGTATAACTAATTTCGACGTTATAAACAAGGTCAGCGGCGCAGCGACGGGGGATAATATCGTTAGGCTGCGCTGCATCACGCCAGGATTATCGCGATTAATTATGTGTGCTGGTTACGTAGACCGAATATACAAGATTATTCTCAGCGAGAGTCGCTTACATTCGACTGGCGGCTGGAATTTGCTGAAGTCCGACCGAAGCGGGGAGAATTACGGGTACTATTGAAAATCATTCGCACACACGCGCCTGTGACGCACGCACTCCAAAAATTTTGGACAGATCGACGTTAATGATTACGTTTTACGCTTACGTTCAATTTAGCGATTAAAATAGAACTTGTATAATAAATTTTATAATCTTCTAACAATAAAAATGATTTGTTATATTATGTTATTTACACGTATACTTATTGATCTTTTAAATTACTGCAGCTTTGTGAGATTTTACGTTAGATCTGAATTTTTCACTAATATTACAATATTTTACCTTAAAGATATTTAAACTGCAGTTTGCAATAAAAAGAATGGCACCTCAATTATTTCCGCGTTATTTTCTGAAATATAAAATGGCCGCTGATATACCAATACCAAAGTCAAACATACAAGGAATCCAAAACTTACTTGCTATCTATTACGTTCTTGACAATAAACGTATCCCCCGAAAACACCAAGAGTAACGCCAAGAGTGAAAAGTTTAGTTTAGTAAAGTCAGTTAATTAATTCTTTCCCTTCAGCGGTGGAGTCGGCTCAAGTTCATACCGCGTTGCGCCAACTTCCGGGTGGATGCTGCGCATTAAATCCGGTGATTCCAGCAGTCCGCAGTTTACCGTCAGCTTTAGAGCGAACTTTCGAAAACACGCAATATAGGTATACTTCGCAACTTTGTTTCGGCCTCGCTCCGCTCGTCCATACGCGCGGCCGTGCGCCCATACAATTTTTCATCGCGCGCATCGGCGATGGCGGTGTGTGTGTGACGAGAGTGATAATCAAGATTAACAAGTTCTAAACTCCGTAATTTGTCAGTGTCAGTATTTCGCACGCGAACGCGCGAGCGTATGAAAGGGTTATCGGCAGTCAGCGCTTGCACTTTCGATCGGCGGGTGCACGCGTGCAAGGTTAGCAGCTTCAGGTTCGCGCAAGGTCGCATCATGGAAAATTATGCCGGCGAAGTGGCGGTGCAGTGATCCGAGATATATCGTCGTTAATTATGCTACTCGTAGACCGATTAAATCTTTGACTATATATAAGTATGGACTATATATTAGTATTGGTTGTCAAAAAGTAGCGACCTCGCTAACCGACAACTAAAAATTAAGTATAGTGTTTTCATATTGGTAAGAGAGAGGCGGACAACAAAACTAACCAACCAACTTGCGTTAATTATTTAAAAAATTAAATTATGCTCAGTTATTTATTATATATAAGGTTGTAATAACACGCGCTAAATAAATAAAACCTGCCGAGGAGTGAACCTCTAAGCCTTTTTAGGTATGTTGATGTGAGGAATTAACCTCAAAATTAAATTATTTACATATATAATAAACAATAACAAAAATGGATAAGCTGTGTTTATACAATAATATTATTAATATTTATTATATACATATATAACTTATATAGTTTAATAAACAGAATTTGGTAAAAATATGATGATTTGATTTTCGCGCGGATTGTGATTGCCCAAAAACCGTTACTTAGGAATATTTCTAGCTTAATTTTGCTATAGGATATGCAGCCTACTGGCAGTCCATACTTATACAGTCAAAGGATTAAATAATTACCGTTTCGTTATCGAGAAAGCGCATGCACCGCACTCTCTTCCGCTTCATAGCATCCGCATTTACGTTAAATAGGTCGGGTATAGTACATATGAATTCCTCGTCAATTTGATCGAGAAATTTCCTGTGTACTCGAACAAAGAAGCCTCGTTATTCTTTCTCGAGCATCGAGCGAGACAGTATAAGATGCATACTCAACGCATGTCGCATCTAATTAGGTAGTCGTAGGTAAAATAAGCGATATGCGCAGTTGCGGTGAGCTTATTATCGTTAATTACGTATAATGTTACTTAAACTGATCGCATCGTTATCGGATGTTCGAAAGACGCGAATTCATCGAATTTTGTGATTGCTCTTGCATGTAAATCTACTTTCGTACTTTCAGTCTTTTTTTAAATAATAATCTTTTAAACAATAAATTATGAAATATTTAAATTTATGACGGATGACGAGCAAATTGTTTCAAAAATATTTCAAAAATATCAAGTGTGACATAATGTGGTGCATTTTTATTTAATGAGCTTAACTTCTTTGCAAACACAAACACACTCTTTGCCTGTTGATGCGAGCAGTTTAATATCCTTTAGTATCCTGGCTCTCGGCGAGCTTTTAATCATAAAAGAATGTTGGCACGATAATTTCGTATCCTGGAACGTAATAATCACTTATTACTTTCGACGCTCACGACTCGCGCGAATATCCCTCTAACAGAACACATAGTATAGCAAGTTCAGTTTGTTTAGTCTCAACGTTATTTTCACTCGTGTGTGTCCATTTACCACCCATCAAAGTGTTGCCTCGGCGCTTCCGAAGGAAGGTAATATTGCACCCAGACTTTCGTTAACCGTCTCGTTAACCCGCCACTAAAGTATCTTAGGCCGCCCGTGAGAAAAGACGTTTACTTTCGCAACTTCGCGGAGCCATATTTCTTCCGCAACGTATTTACGACACCCTCGTAAAACGAACGAAGTATAAGCGGCGCGGTACCGCGCGATTAACGATGCCCCCATCGTGGCGACGAATGCACCATCGTCGTCGCTCTAATGCGCCGTGGCCGTCGAGACGCAACCATTGACGGTCATGCATCGCGAACAGTTTCGATCCGCGCTATCGATCTTCCCAGACAACACGCATGTCTTAAATCGGAACGTAGGTATAGCGTCTTTGAGACATTGTGTTCACTGGGTTATCTTCACGCGCGTCGCGCGCGCAAGTGGAACGAACGCACGGTGGAGCGCGTCTGTCGCGCGCACCTGATTTTCCTGATTTAAACTTAACGCTTAATTACATATGTATCACCCGATGGAGTACGAGCGAGTAAATAAATCTCGTACAGTGTCTCTCTACAACGTTCACATTTATGTATGTACGTATGTATGTACACTCACGCTTACGCGCGCACTTGGAAGTTCCGGCTTATCGAAATGATACGTCGAACTCTTCGTTGGATTAGTCGGATTGAAGAGTCGGCCCTTTCTACTCGCGAGCGCACGCGAGTCATAGACGATCGATCGTGAATATGATCTTCGCGAAAGTTAATCCGAGCACTCTCGATGCCCGTCCGCCTCTGCATTATACGACCTAATATTTCTCGTCCATGTGACACGGAATGTAAGCGATCGATCGACAGAAGAATGAATGATATAGTGTAACTCATATGGAAATTATGGCGGGCACTTTATTCCAGGCTAGCACTCAACTCTTTTTTTTCGCCCGACGGACGACCGTTCAAATACATGCGCGAACATGATGAGCTACTGCTATATACTTTTATTATATCGATCCCCATTAGACACGGCTGTTTCCTGCCTCAGAAATCTTCGTCGGTACACAGACCATCGAGCACACAATGATCGATCACTACTAATCTCGCAATGATGATGACAATTATGCTGCTTTGCATTAGCGTATTACGTTGCTGCTCCTCGTTGAACCATGATTAGACGTGCATATAATGGATTAAATGGATTCGCCTTCTCGATGACACAAATAATCACAGCTGGTCCTACGACTGCTACTTTGCCCGGCAGCGAGAGTAAGGTTGATCGTTCGAATAGGGGTAGTAATCAATCACAGCCAAGACTTGCAGCTCCAAGAGTTTCCGGTGCCACACCATTCCGATAACAACGATGAATCTTTAACTGGACCACCACCATAACCGTATACCGCCGGTTCTACTAACTTTGGCAGCCGAAACTAGGGCACGGCACGTCCTCGCCACGGACATAGATCACGCGACACGATAAATAGACAATATTACACAATTTTGCTACCACACACCTTGGGTTTTCGCAGGTCTCGCATGGTCTGCACTTACGCACGTCACAAGGTCCAGTTCGTCTGCAGGGCCAGCTTAAGCGTGACGAACATGGTGAGCAACGCGGTGCAGGCCATCACCGACGGCGAGGACGCCATGCTGTGCTGCATCGCGGCCGGATTGTCGCCCTTGAAGACGTGCACCAGAACGCGCGCCGGCTGGGCGTTGCTGGCCTCGCAGGTGTAATTACCGGAGTGGCGGTCCGACGCCCGCGGCACCTCCAGCCAGCTCTCCCGGCTGACAAGGTCGGTGCTAACGTTGACGCCCTGATCAACGTCGTAATTGATCATACGGAAGTTGTGATACCAGAAGAGGTACGACGGCACTTCCGTGGACTTCTTCACCAGACAGTGTAGCTGCAGCGTGCTCCCGGGCCTCACGAATTTCTCCGCCGGACCGGCTATCTCCGCTCTGGCTTCTGCAAATGGCCGAACGTGACACGTGAGACGTGAGCCGTTCATAGCCCCGGCTAGACATTGGGGTATTGTTTACTACAACATGGGCATGTGAGAGGCCTGTCCCGAGGTCGGGAGAAGGGAATAGCTTGTGTAAGAGCGACAGGATCTCGGGCACGTCCCACCAGGGTTTCTCAAACGCCAGGACCAGGTATAAACTGACACAGCGGGCGATTCTTCTTAAAAAATTCTCACCGTTACGTTTAGAATGGAACTCATTTATAATGTTGTTGTTATACGCAATATAGTAAACAATACATAATTTTTTTCATAAAATTGTTGACATACAAAAAATAATTAAAAAATTTTACATACACTATGACTATCAATCCAACGAAATATATGCCTTTTATTAAGTCTTATAATTTTAATCTATTTTTCATCGATTTTAGTTACATCACAATTAGCTACATCATTTTTGTATTTTAATAACTCCTCAATATAGTTGCTTACAAACATCCTCGTAATTTGGCAATCATTACTGAGTACGTTTGAGTAATTTGCTAATGACTGTAACGGAATATTTCTCTGACGGGAGTCCTAATGATATTTTGTCTATAAGATTTGCATAGTAGGCAATTATTGATGTAATTGCCATAACGGGGTGATTTATCGAAATCGATGATAGAATGTTTTATCCAATAATATCAGAATTATGATTAACACGTGGAACGTAGATGCGGACATGTTTGTAAACAGTATTTGTATGAGAGCAGTCCGATTGCATAATTAACCTTTCATCTAGAGTAGCAGATCCGCGCAGGTTGCTGTTTTCATTAGCCGAGCATCAATTGCATTTATCGGATGCTCGGATATCAGTTATAAGGATGTTACGAGTTACGATTTTATGTGTGACATTTTATTACGAGAAACAAACATATTGATTTTTTATTTTAATAATAAACTTTCAGTTGTAAAAAACTCACGTATGACCAAAAAATGGTATAAACGTTATCTGTTATCGAGACGATTGAAATAAATTAAAAATTCCACAGGTAAGGAGATTCTTTTTACTGGACAGTATGAGTCAACAAAACGCGTTTACTACCGTGATTAATTACCCGGCAAGGGCAACTTTCTCGGGGTAATTAATTTCTCCAACAATTCGCACCCCATTGAGTAAATTGTCTATTAATTAAGTATTCAATTAGGCGATGTTCCATGGAACAATATGTCCCGCAGAGTACTTTTTTCTCCATAGAATAGTTGTCACATGCAATCAATATTATTATTCATGGAAATCCTAATTTATCGGCGACTTAATGCGGCAGAGTAACAGCTACCGCTATCTCTATTCAAGCCGCGTAAAACAACTGCGCCGAGTTATTATTATGATTTTCATAATCGACTTTGCTGGCCTTAATTATTTTATCAGTCGCTATATTCAGAGTGCGACACTATATTTCCTAAAACAATCACCTCGAAGAGATTATTAGCTTGATAAACAGTCGATATCCGATATTCATTTACGCTAGTCATAGAAATTTAATACGTTCTATTACCATTTAAAAGCTGTTTATTTTAACTGAGCTTGATAAAGCTATTTAAATGAAAATGACAGACATTAACGAATATTGAAAATCATATATGTATGTGTGTATCGATAATACCTTACACTGCCACGGGGATTATCATCGTGTATCGCTAATCAATCGAGAATGGAATCAATCATGTGAAAGGATAATCTTTTTTTTTTATATCTTTCCGTTACCAATTGTTGTGCTTTCACTGGAATTGTAACAGGTTCCATCGTAAATTGAAACCGTTTATTCTTTCCCTCTGTCTATATTGATTTGTAAGTCGATAGCACTGAGTAGCATATGATACAGAGCTCTCAAAATATTTAAACCAAACGGAAACATTGGATTGATAAATTTACAATTTGAATGCACCGTTTCAAAGTGATTACAAAACACGTGATATAAGCTTGATACTTTGACAGTTGTACATTTTGGGGAAAAAATTTACATCCGCCGTTATCTATTTTTGCAAAACATTTCGTATTAGATGTCAAACATTTCAAGGTATTGATTGATTTTTGAAAATACTAGTTTCTTTTGGCATTTTTATAAATATATTATTGGCATATCGCATAGGGAATGACGTATCTCTTTTTATCAGTGATGAATTTGTTTGTGTTGTACTTTTGGAGTGATAGAAAAAAGAGATTGGGCCTTTTAAATTGTGCATAGGTACGCGCAAAGAGTGGGTCTTCCTAATATTGTGTTCTGTTATAGTACACAATTGTGACATTTTTCATTTTGACGTTTGCATTTAAATCCTTAATTCAACCTTATTGCATTAATATACTTTGTTATTATAATTTGCTGTTATTTCATATTGCATTTTATTGTTAGAGGAAAATCCCTTATTATGAGATTAACAGATGGAGCCTATTAGTTTAGCAAAAACCCCTATCTCATATTAGCAGCCTGTCTCATAATAGGGGACTCTCCTCTATTACCTATAACCCCTATAAAATTCCCTGTCGCTTTGAATAATAATAACAATATCAGATAGTCGGAAGTATCGTTTGTAAAAACCATTGGCCGAATTTCATATAACACACAGGATAAAAAATTTTTGAAGAAGTTCCTGATTCTGACTTTGAGAAATACTGTCGAGATGACTCACGTTCTGCGGTATCTCGCATGAGAGAGACTGGGCAAATTTTAAATCCGCTCACGCCCGGGCGCGTTTCACCCTTTCACTCGACGCGACCTGACACGCCGCGCGTCGGTGGCGGCGGCGGCGGCGAGGCATTATAGGATCAGATGTGTGAGAGGGAACACTGTAAACACGCCGCCAACACCCGCACCAGCCAGTCCAGATACGCTTTTACTACTAGCCGACTGCTGTCACGGCCGAGCGGCCGCGAACGATAGCCGAGATGTGATTCGCAAACGTTTGCGATCTGAGGGCTCCCCGGAGTGAATGGGCGTCGATTCCTGTGGGAACTGTTGCAGTTTCGAATCGCTGGAGCGTGCGTCCTTGTCCGAACGTTTACCTGAACAATTTTTTGACAGCCTTCAGCCCAGCGTTTACGCAGCCCACCCCCCGGACTTTGTCGCGACAAAGGAACCCGGTCGTTCCTAAAAAGTGCGAGATGGATCTGCTGCGGGTTCGCGGTGAATTTTTCCTCTTTTATACTGTTCATAGATCTTCCGCTCCCATAGCAACGAAAGATTCTCTGATTTTCATGATTTAAATGGTAAATGGCACAAAACGGGATAAATCCTCGCTTTTTGCGATATTATTCAACTTTATGCGGAAGGTTCGCAAAAAGATGCAACACTTTTGAATTACTATATATAATTAATATATTTAATTACATAAAATTATATAGTTATTAATATATATAATTAATATGTTTATGCTACTACATTACGTACATTGATAATTTTGATGTTGAACAATTCCTGACAGCTGGAAGTTTGATGCTGAATAAGAACATATTCAATATGAGATTTATTAGCAGCCACCACTGTATCCAAATATCTATGAAAACTGCTCACCACTTCTTTGAGAGTTGCGATAGGAGAATCCCTTCTACAACGGTTTAAATGTTGGTTTTCAAATCCTCCATTGTACGAAAGTTATTCTGGTGGACGTAATTCTTCAAATATTTCCATAAATAAAAGTTACAAAGATTTAAATCTGATGAATAGAAAAGCTAAATCTACCCAAGTCCATAAAATCATTATGGATTAGAGATTACTTTATCGCAAAAGTGCTCATCCATAATATTTGAAAAATTACATCTACCAGAATAACCATCGCACAATTGAAAATTAAAAATCCAACATTCAAATTATGTAAAGAAGATTTCTACCACAACTATCTCGAAAGAAGCGGTGAGAAGTGATGAGCAGTTTCCGTGGATGCCCGGGTAGAATTTTGTCGAGGCGTGCCCCAAGTCTGTAAAGGGCCTAAACAGGCATGCCCTAAAATAGGATCGCCAATATTGGGGCTAGGTAGTCATGTCGTAAAATAGGCATACCATTGTTGGGCCTAGAAAGGGACTAGAAAGGCAAATTCTAGATAGAATTTCCTTAATAGGCCCAGAATAGGCACTGACATGGATGCCACTATCAAGGTCTGCTAACGTTGGACCTAGAAAGGGACTAAAAAGGCAAATTTTGGATAGAATTTCCTTAATAAGCCCAGAATAGGCACTGACATGGATGCCACTATCAAGGTCTGCAAACGTTGGGCCTAGAAAAGGACTAGAAAAGCAAATTCTGGATAGAATTTTCTTAATGGGCCTAGAATAGGCACTGGCATGGATGCCACAATCAAGGTCTGCTAACGTTGGGCCTAGATTGGTATGCTCTAAAATAGATCTACCATTGTTGGGCCTAGAAAGGGCCTAAAAAGGATTTTCTAAACAGGCACTAACATGAAAGCCTACGATTGTTGCCGTGAAATTATAGGTTTTACAATTTTTTTACATAAAATTTATTTCTTTTATTATCATGAAATAATTCATTGATTTAATTATTATGTTTCTTAAGATGATTTTTAAAAAATTATATATTTGCGCTGGTTACGACATGTAGACTATATTTAACACTTACATCAAATTAAGAAGTAGTCTACCACGTAAGGCAGTTGGCTCACGATCCAGAGGTCCCGAGTTCGAATCCCACCAAGGTAAAGTGTTGTTTTTCAAATACGAGAAAATATTTATAAAATAGTAATAAAATTTCGAAAAAAAAAATAATTTTTTTAATGTAAATATCATATAAGGATTACTGGGAAGTTAGGCATGTCTGGATAGGGCCTAGTTAGGCATGCTAGAATAGAGCCTCGTCAGATATACAAATCAGGCTCTGACTTACACAAGCTTTACATCTCTGTGCAGGTCCTAACCAGGCTTCCTTGATAGGGCCTAGACAGAAATGGGGAAAAACTGTCTACAGCCTTTACAGGCCCCCTTTTAAAGTTCTACCCGGGTGTTTGA